CTAACATCTCAGTTGATCTAATAAAAATTGAACAGTTCTTTCCCCATTTGTAAGTTTTTTGCAAAATCCCCATTCTAAGATAACAATAGTTTTTTCCAAAGTCAATCAGTCAATCAACAATCATTAAGAGGTGCTTAGGGGCAGGTAGGTGGCACAGTGGATAGAGTTCTGGCCTTGGAGTAGGAGGACCTGAGTTCAAATCCGGCCTCAGATTTAACATTTACTAGCTGTGTGACCCTGGGCAAGCCACTTAACCCCAATTGCCTCACCATATACAATAAAATAAAATAAAAAAGAAGAAGTGCTTAGTCATTCTCAGGAAAATTATTAGCATGTACATTAAGCAGGCTCCCTAACGTGAATGTGCAACCAGATTCCCAAAGGTTACTGAATATGTGGTATCCTTAGGAGAATTATGATAAGTTGAACAGCATAGCTGTATACTTCCCATCTCTTTCACATGCCTGTCTTCAGATAGCTATCACCTGTGCCTAAGACATTGAGAATGTTGAATATGTGCCAAAATCAAGTTGCCTAAAAGACCAATCATGAATTCAGGAAAGACTATCAGCCACATGTACCCAGGTCAATTATCAAATAAAAAACTATCAAGGTTTTGAAGATTCTTGGTTTTTTGTTTGTTTTTCAAAAACCCTGCAAGGTATGGGTTAACTGATAAGTGACATGAGAAATAGGAATTTTTTTTCTCTTTTTATAAGCAAGAGCAACTCAGCTTCATCTCCTCTGACAATGATACTTACTTGCTGAAAAAGCATTCTGCTGGAGTGTGATGTACTATTATCATGAGCCTGATTGCCGAAGATTCACTACTGTCTGCCTTCCACTGATATGTGGAAGCTAATGGGACATCAGAGTCAGTCATGTTCCAGTACCCTTTTCTATCATCTTGAGATTAAGCTAGCTATGCTGTATCTTTTAATAAATTTCACCTAAATATGTAAGCTATGTATTGGGCTTTGCTTTCATTTTTTTATAGGTGGCTGCAATTGTAATTCTTACCATACGCTGATCTTATTTAGAGAGCATTTGTTGCTAAATGTTGGTGAAGGAATAGGGAAGACTAATCACCTCTCCAAATTCTCAAATTGTCCTCTCAGATCTACAGCAGTTATCACACACCCCCATCAAGTGTTTTATTTGCATTTTATTAGGTACTTTCTGAGGCTCAAATAGTGATAACCTAAATTTCAAGTACCTCAGGAGTCTGCTGAGAGTAGTTTTGTTGGTGACAGTACTGTTGGTGATCCACAAATCATACCATTTAGCAGTTACCTGCTTTGTCTACGTGCAGCCCAGATATCAGTAGGTTACTGAGAGGATGTTGATTTGTCAAGAGGAATGGTCAGATTGGTATAGTCTTGGGGACTGAAAGGGTAGAAACTCATTGTGATTCTATCAGCAAAGACTTCCCAAGATGCATTCACTGACAAAACTCTCCTCTTTGCCAAAGGGCAATAGTACCTAGTAAGATGGTTGAAAAGTGACACCTCAGTACACCTGAGGAAAGTTATTTTGAGAAAGGAAAACATTAATTCTGAACTAGAAGACCTCTTCAAATGTTTGTCACGTCAGGATACTGGCAAGCTTTATGAAGGGAACATTCTTATAAAAATAGTTTTCTATACATACTCAGAAAATTTTTATTCAACCAGAATAATATGCATTTTTTCCCCAATGCTGTGCTTTCCCCCTCCTACTCACCTTGATGCCCTCCTACTACTCCTCCCTGTCATTAGGTTTAAAGAACTCAAGCATATACTTTGCAAACCCCCTCAGAGTTCTCTCACCATGAATAACAGGAACACAAAGGAATAGATTCAATTTCTTTGAAATTTGAACTTCATTAAACCTTCTACCTACATACCTATATATAGGTACATAGTGTTGGGAAGGAGGACACACTGGGCACATGGGTCAGAGTTGATTTTTATGACCCAACTGAGAGCCTGGACTAGGGGTTAGCAAGAGAGGCAGCCAGTTACAACTAAAAACATAAAGAGTTGATGATTAAGGGATATTTTTTGACTTTTCTAAACATTTTTAAACATTTTTTGTAAAAGTATGTATCCATTATTTCCAGAAAATAGCATTAACAACCAAGAAATTTATTTTTTTACTTTTTGTATTTATGTATTTATTTTTTCATAAAATATCTAGCATTACTAATTTGATGGATATTATACATAGTGGTTCACACAAATGTTCTTTCCCAGCTTGTCCACAGAAATAAACCAATAAATTTATTAATACAGAGAAATCAAATTGGCAGAACCTCACAAGATCTCTAATGCAGTATCCTGTTTTCAGAGTTCAGGGAAGAGGAGACCAGTAATGGTGTCTTGATGTCAAATGGTGAGTTGGCATTTTTAAGGTGTTCCAAAAGTCTTACGGCAGTTTTAAACCTTAATAACTTAAAGATTTTTGAGACACCCTGTAATTTACCTTTAAGACCCTGAAGCATAACTTTTCTTATTAATTAGCACAACAGGACACGTATAAGTACCTAGTCTTCAGGTCCACCTCCTTTAGGTTCAGCATTAGAATGTCACATCACTCACTCAAACTTACTAAAACTCCCCAGTCAAATTGCCCTCTAGCCTACACATATCACAAATATGCTCATACTACATACATTCACATAAACTACATACATTTAAAGCACTATATAAATGTCAATTAATAACATTAATGAGTTATTGTTCTTAATGATATCTCTTTGTGCTGCAGTGACAATCAAATAACTATATTTAGGAAGGTGTATAGCACGATGGCTATTCCTTTATATGAAGGAAAAACAACCTTGTTATTGGAATATGCTGTTTGACTGAGTTATTACCACCCCAGCCTCCTGTCCCCGACCCTCACCCTCATTCCGCTAAAGACTGACTACCTCCATCCTGCCTAGGCTGAACATACAAAGCCATGCTACGTACAGCACTCTCTAGCTAGGTGCACTCCCACAAACTAGGGACCTTTCAGACTGACTTCTTTATAGATACAAACTGTATCCCATTGGCTCATTCAAATGCCATAGAATGCTATGCTGATTGGATGTGTACTCTAATCAGGCCTGAAAAAGCTTTATAAGCCAAAATATGTAACCTAGGAATCTGAAGCTGCTACTAGTGAGCAAGTTCCCTTAGCACTCTAATAATAATTTTTTTTCTTTTTAGTTTGGCTCTCATTTTGTTTGACTTCCAATTTTGTGGACCTTCCTGTGATCACGATTCACCATGGACTTTGAAGAACTCCAGGCTAAAAAAATTCTCTATTGTTTTCTTTGCAGGGAGACTTGGACTAACCTGACACTGGATGCTTTAGCTGAAAAATAAGCATATGCCATTGTGTCCATAACCCAGACATTGGTCCAGTAGATAATATTTTGGATTTTGGAGTCAGAGGACCAGGTTCAAATCTTGTCTACTTCTTACTGACTGTAAGACACCTTGGGCAAGTTAAATTCTAGGGAGCTCTGTTTCCTCAACTATGAAACTTGCCCAAGATATATAGACCCTTTCTCTGTCTCTTTTTCTGTCTTACATCAGGCTCAGTCTTATGGCCTTTTCCATAGCTAAAAGTCTCGCTACAATTTGAGGGAGATCAGGAAAGCTGCTTTACCTAAACATATCTCCACTGAAATCCTACCAATAGGAACTTTAGGTTACCAGACTCTTCTTTTAAAAGTCAAAATATTATTATGATATTATAATAGTCCCCAAAGCCTTTCTTTTATTTTGGGCCTAGCCTTTCTTGTGTAGACTATATCTGCTTTAGCTCCTTCCCCCTATTATCTGGCATCCTCAGTCTGCCTTTTTCTAGAATCCTCAATAGCTGCAGTTCTCCATGCTAGAAACTTCCTTATCCCATGTTCCTAGGCCAGGATGCCTCACTGACCAATTATTAGGACCCCCTTCCTGGGACACACCAGAGAAGGAAAGCTAATGCAACACACCTGAGCAAAAACCTTTTTCTCTCCTATAATAAACCCATGAACCTTGCTTGTAGACCCAAGCTCCTTGGACTCAGGAATCTCCAACTCTAACCAGAGAACTAATAAGAGCTTGGAGACATTAAGTTAAGGGCAATCCTTTGCAGGACCATCCTTTACCCTTTTTTTTGGTTTTATTGTACCCTGACAATCATCACACTCAAAATCGCAGTGATCTCTCCCTAGATATCCTGCAGTTATCTGGTGTCAGACTATCTGCCTTACTATTTTGTGAGTCAAAGTGCACCTGTCGTAAAGACTTGTTACTTATAGCATCCCAAGCCAGTCTGATTCAAAAGTCTCCTAGGTTCCAATTCAGTTGGAATGGTTTGTGACAGACTATGTTGTGACAGCTATTCACACTTTATTGTAAATTAATTTGCCTGGCAACCCTTCAAAAAACTATTAGCAGAACATTGGTTATTTATTTTCTTCCTAACAGATGTGGAAAGAGAAAGAGGGGAGGAAAATAAGCCATCTACTAAGGTGAGATTGTAAGTTAGGGCCTATACTCTTTGTTGAATTGAATTGAATTGGGAGCACTGAGATGAAATAAAAGCATATATTTGAGGAGTCCGATCCAATCAATCAAAGGAGAAATTACAAAGTCCCTGCATTTTTATGCAGCATAACATCTGTCACAACATTTAAGTCTTATATTGAAGGAAACCAAACTCCCTTATCTCATCCCTGCCCCAGGTATATGTGTCCTCTTGCAATACCAAATGCCCAAGCAAATACTTGATCAAAAGTCTTTTAAATTATCAAGTTCTTTATTACAAGAGAGAACTCACAAAGGGAATCAAAAGAAAATGATGAATGCAGAGGACAGAGGGCCAGGGTACTGCGAACAACTCTGACTCAAAGGACTCTTGCGTGCACCCTTGTGGCCTTTCCATTCTCACTCAAAGCCTGGGTGACTGCTTATCACTTCCCTTTTGTAACTTGGGAGAGACTTGGGACCTTCTAGAGTGAAGGACCTAATCTTGGACTAGTGTGGCAAAATGTCCTCTATGTGGAGATTGAGAGATGGAAGTAGGAAGTTCCTCAGTCTCCATAAAGTGTTTCTATCCATCATCTTGAGCAGATTGTCCAGGACAAAATTTGGATTTACAAAATGAAGATACAAAATCCCGAAACTCAGCATCCTGGTGAGAAATACAACCATCAAGAAGACAAACTGGGCAATCCTGCAAAAAAGAGTGGGGCACGTTATATCAACCAAGGTTGCAGAGATTCATCATAGTGGATAATCAAAAGCTAGCCTGGGAGGTAGTAAGACCCAGGTTCAAGCCCTGCCTTTGACAAATATTAACACTGTGACCATGAATAAGTCACTTAATCTCTCAATGGCTTAGCTAATTCTCTGAGACTGTAAGTTATTGATAAGATGTTGATTTTCATTGGTGTAAGACAGTGATGTCCAAAATAGGATCTGGGGACCTCTAAAGGAGAGAGTTGGCAAGGTCAAAACTATTTTCATAAAAATAATAAAGAAATTTTGATTTTAATATAATGTATATCAATTGATATAGCCCACATAAACAAAAGCTTGTCCTCAATAATTTTTAAGAGTGCAAAGGGGTCCTAAGACTAAAAAGTTTGAGAAGCACTGGTGTAGGGTGTTTCTACATTGTGATTTCCCTAGATTGATAAAATATGTCATGACACTTTAAAAAAAAGGTAACTGTAAGAAAACCCTCTACACCAAGAACTGGTTCAAGTTGGCCTTAAGCTTCCATCATACAAGGTTTATAGCTAAATCACTTAAATGAATGCTTTACTTAAAGGACAAGGACTATGCAGTCCTTACTTAGAAAGCCTTATAGAGTCAATGCTATTACAAACAGTAGCAGGGAGAGTTTGAGAAGCATTTCTAAAGCTACCTAGTATGTTAGTGGATGGGCTAAGAAAATCATCTTCTGGCCTCCTCTCCCAGTCACATAAATTAGCGCAGATACATAGATTCAGTGTCTGAACCAACATAATGGACCTTAAAAGAAATAAGGCTCAGGGTAGAGGTGTGAAACACAGCTGTGGCCTACAACACTCCTGAGTGCCCTGGGAACCTGATTAAAATGTAATCAGGAAATATTTAACAAAATAAATGTACAATAGAACACAGATAATGTTAAGATGTGGTTTTCTAGGTCAATATGTGGCCCTCAGGGATGCTTATGTGTGGTTTAGTGGCCCCATTTCTATTTGAGTTTAACACCACTATTTAGGGCAAGCAGGATATAACTAGAACTATAGTCTCATCCTGTATATCTTAATTCTTTTGCAGCTTCTAGCAATGATATATATCACATCTTTACTCTGGCACTAACTGAATATGAAGGGCCAAGAAGAATTCTGCGGGTTGGACTAATGCTTTGTGACTAATAGATTATTATGTCTATGCCAAGTATTCCTCCTGGTCTTCTGCATAAGAACATCCTATATCTGAAGAGTCCTTGCCTGACTAGTGTGTCAGAGTAAGTGTATTTTGGGCTAGTTAAATCAAGCCCTTTCCAGTTACCTGAGCCAAAAATGTCTTTGCCCTTTTTTAAACAAGTTCTCCTCCTGTGAAAGCAATAAGTACAACAAATGAGATGATCTTAGAATTCTTTTTCTTCCTTCCTCCCTCCTTCCTTCTCTTTCTTTTTTCTTTCCCTCCTTCCTTCCTCCTTTTCTTTTCCTTCTCTTTCTTTCCTCCTTTGTTCCATCCCTCCCTCCTTCCTTTTCTTTCTTCCCTCCCTCCTTTCCTTCATCCCTTCTTTCTTTCCTCCTTCCTTTCTTTCCCCAGTGCCTAGAACAGTGACTAACACATAGTAGGCACTTAATAAATGTTTGTTGATTGACCGATAACTATGTTCAAGGCCCTGGACTAGTTGCTAGAGAAGATATTGTCAGCACAGTAAAAAGAAGGGAGAACTTGGATCACCCAGAGACTGCAAGTGTCCAGTCACTTCAGGACCAGCTTAAATTGAGTAGAAGTAGACAGCTCCAGTACTTCTGCTACAGCACTTTCAACTCTAGAAAGTTGGGACTACTACTGGTATACTTTAGGTGAGGACTAGCAGACTATGAAGTGCACATGAAGTCCATGAACCTTAGGCAGAGAGCCTGGTTGAAGATGATACCACCAACTGTTGTAGGGCCTGAGTTTCCTCTTTTAATTTTGGTTGGGGTAAGGTGGGGGTGAGGGGTGGGGGGGGGGAATGGGATCAGGGTATTGCAAATGTCTTTGTTGGCCCAGAACTAAGGATTGACAGTCTCCCAGGATTGGAGGAGTAATAAAAGGAGGTACATTTCAACTGTAGCCTAATTTACCTATTTGACCAGTGCTAAATTTACATCTTAGAAAATAGTTGTACAACCAACTTTAAGCTCCCACTTCTGGAATTTACTCCCTCCTCATTTCAACTTTTCAGCATCTTTAAGTTTCTTTAAGGTTCTATTAATGTTCTTTCTTTTATTCCTCAAATTACCATGCATTTACTTCTCTGTGGATGAGGTCTCACATTCTTCCAAATAGAATATAGGTTCCCTGAGGGCAGGGACTTGTTTGCTTGTTTTTTGTCTTGGCATTTACTAAATGTTTGGCAAATTTAGTTGCTTAAGAAGTCACCTAGAGTTTTGTAATATTTGCTGATAATTAGGCCCAAATAACCTCTACTCTGTATTGCTTTCTTTTTTACTCGCTGAGAGAATATAGATGAATGAAGGGGGTGGAGCAGAGAACGTAAAACTAGGGCTAAGTGAAACTTACCAGAATCAAATCAGATTGATTGTGTATGTTCTGGGCTTTGGTTCTAGAAGGAAAAACAAAACAAAGATATGCCTAGAGATGTCTAAAGGACTTTTAAGTATTTGCATTGATGCAAGTCACTGCTATAAAAATGGTTTCTAGTCTAGTCAAACGTCTGTTTTCCTTTCAGATTATTAATAGCAATGCCAAAGCCTGAATTAAGTAGGAATTCAAGGAAATGTCAATAATAATAACCTGAAATTTCATTGGCATAGGGAAATCCCATATGAGGAACCTCTCTTTACCAATGTAGGTTAGCACCTTGTAGTGTTAAAGGGTTCCTTAGAATCACTGAGAGAGGTTAATCAACCTGACAAGGGTTCTACAACCAGTTAGAGGCAGGATTTGAACGCATGTCTTTCAGCTCTATCCACTAAGCCAAGCTAGATAACAACAACAACAACAACTGACATTTGTAAAGTACTTTCAGGTTTGCAAAGTGCTTTACATTCATAATACTTTTTTTTTTTTTTTACAAAGCAGCATTTCTATGTGGGAGGAGGTGAATGGGTTATGATAGGGATACAAAAAAAAGAAAAGAGTATCAATGAAATGTTAGAGATTAAACAGAGGAGAGAAGAGTGAAGTTCAGAAGGGGACACAGACAAACAGGACAGTTTTGTTACTATCATCTTAAATTTAATACAGAATAAATTAAATATAGAATAAATTAAATTAAATTTAGAAAGATTAACCACTTTTTTAGGAAAAGTAATAGCTCAGTTTTGAGTGTGATATTTTTTGTTCTTTGAATATTGTAATGTTTGTGTTTGTTGATGCTTCCTAAGTTTGTAATAAAAAAAATTTAAAATAGAAAATATAAATAAGTCTATTAGAGGTAGCCCATACAATTTCCATATACTAGTTATGACAATTAATAATAATAGCTAATGTGTATATAGCGCTTTACATTTTATAAAACACTTCACAAATAATATCTCATTTGATTTCATAGGCATAGATCTAGAGTTAGATCTCAGGAAGATGTTCTAGTCCAATTCCCTTCATCTTACGGATGAGGAAACTGAGGTCCAGGGGATTTAAGTGGCTTGTCTAATGTCATAGAATTTGTAAGCATCAAAGGCAGGATTTGAAGCCAGGTCCCCTGATTTCAGAGCCCAGTGTTCTTTCTACTATACCATCACTTGTTATGAGTGTTATGTATTTAGTTTCATGGAACTACTTCTTTTCTCTTACTTAGTTCCTTCTTAAAGTAGAAAATATAAATGTCTCCTCCCCAGCGGTCACCTAAATACCTTAAAAATGCAGAAGAAGACTAATGGTGCATTGGAAATTCAGTTCTGTTCAACAAATACTAAGGGCTTCCTGTGTAAAGTGACTCAGTTTAGCATTAAGATTCTTTGATGTATGAACTTTTTCATAGGCTTCAAACGAAGAAGGCCAAGTCCATTGACAAAACTCACACTTCTGTTTCAAGGAGCAGTATCTCTCTATCCTTTTCCATCAGCCTCAGAATTTCCTGGTATTTCTGCTCATGGAAATTAAAAATACAGAAGCACAGGAACAAGAGGAAAATTTCATGATTATTCAATTGCAATGAAAACAAGCAAATCTACAATAATCCCAAGCCCTTTCTTGACAACCTCCCCCAAGAGTTAGGCTTTGCAGAAGGCTGCAATAGGTATTTATTTATTAAGTACAGATTAGTCAATAGAGTAAAGGAGGATTTGTCTGAGAAAGTTGACGAGCAAGAAGATATATCTTTTAAAAGATTTTTATATAGTGAGACCAATGGGAAACCAAAGATTCCACTGTTCAGCCAAGAGCTATTAAGAGAAATGGGGCTTTATTTAACTCTGCAGCTATATTTCTTATTCATTAAACTTATGAAGTTTCTTACATCTTGACTCTGTTGGGGAAGTTCATAGGATCACTGACTATGAGAGTCAGGAGGTCATCAGAGGTCATCCAATCCAATATTCCATGAATAGAAACAAATATTTCCAACCATTAAGCAGCCTCCACTTGAAAACCTTCATCCGATAAAAGGCGGCTCTCTATTTGCCAAGGCAGCCAGTTCTGCTTTTGACAACTCCAATTGTTAAGAAATTTTTCTAAAGTGGAAATTTGTCTTTCAGCAACTTCTACCCATTATTCCTACAACTGTCATATCTCCCCTAGAAGTCTTCTCTTTTCCAAGATAAATATACCTTAGTACCTTCAACTGACCTTCCTATTACACGGTCTCTGACCTCTTTGCTATCCTGGTCACCTTTCTGTAGACATGTTCCAATTGGTCAGTATCTTTCATAAATATGGTGCCAAGAAAAGAACATATTCTGGTCTGAGTCAGGACCAGAGGCACTATCCTTTCTCTAGTTCTAGACATTCTGCTCCTTCATGAGTTTTTAGTTGCCATGTCTTAGTATTAACTCATAAGGTGTTTCCAAAGTCCACTAAAATTCCCAGATTTGATACCTTTATGTAGTAAGCCTGATCTTTACAGAGTTGGTCCACAGATTGGTATTCAGATATTACCTAGAAAACCAGAAATTTTTTTAAACAAATTAAACTCTATGAGTTAATTCAGAAACAAGAACAACGTGCAAATGTTATCCAGAATGACCGTTATGATTTTCTCACTGTTCTCTATGAGACTATTAGCTACACAGTTAAAAAAAAATCAATTTCATCTCTGATGAGATTATTTCATTCACTTTCATGATCCATTCTGAGCAAACTAAGGGCCATACTTTCGTAAGAAATTAAGTGAAAACCTTAGGAACTGTGTCTGGCCAGTTGGCCTATGGATACTGCAAGAATGTATTGCAACATTGTACTTCCCACCCCATTCACCCCCAGGTTTTAAAGAGAGGAAGCCAGAGCATTTGATCCAGCATCCTTCTTTCTTTATCTTAAGCATTCAACTCAGGATGCTCAAAAAGTACCCATTCAGCATTAATTTGTTTTCCGATCCTCCCAGTATGAAAACTCCTTCCACCAATTCTTTGTAACTTATAGTCTAAAAAAGAGTTGCATGAGGGCACAGAGAGGTTAAAGGGACACACAGCTAGTGTTTGTCAGAGGGTAGGTCTTCCTGTTTTAACTGTGGTCCAAGCTATGCTGCTTTTCATTTCCTCATTTATTCAATAGTTAATAATTAATTGCTTATATTTGCAGAGCACTTTAAGATTTACAAATGCACTTTCCTCATTCTGTGAGATTGGTATTATTTTCTTTTTTAAAAATCATGGAGATTGTTAATATTTTCTCACTTGATAGACAAGGAAGCTGAGTCTCAGATTGGTTAAATGTTTTGCTTATGGTCATACACAGCTAGTAAGAGTAGGAGCCAGAACCCTTAAATCAGTTCTCCTGATTGCAATTCCAGTCCTCTTTCCACCTAGAGGTAGGAGTTACCATTATTAGCAGCAGTTCCAGCTGCAGCTAGGGATTTAAAGAGATGAAGAAGTTCTTGTCCTTTAGGTATTTCCAATTATGTAGGACATGCTAGTCAGAGTTTCTTCCTCCACCAGCCCAGGTCTTTCCTGTGTTCTTGGTTCTGAGCACCTTTGGGATCATATCCAAATTTTTATCCTAAGCCAGAAAGTCATGAAAAGGGGGTGATTTTAAAGGTCATTAAGGTCATTGCCACTACCTTAGCCAGTTCTTTTTCCTGTTCTGCATAGGAGGCTATGATCTTTTGTAATTTCACCTATGGAAGAACAAAAGAAAAAAAGAAAGAACTGAGTATGGTGATACACAGCAGGCAGAGAAATGGACAGTTGCAAAAATATCTTATTTTCACCTCAAAGAAACTGAAAGCATGTTTTATCCTTCCCAACACCCCAATACCCTATTATTTAAATTCCACAGGTAACACCATTACGTGCCCTCTAAGATCCCATAAGTGAGAAAAGAGAATATAATTCCTCTTTTTTTGAGGGAAGAGATAAAGAAAATCAGAACAATTATACATTGCCCTTCTAATAAAGGGAAACCACCAAATTGTTCTATTACCTGTAAACCCAAAGAAGACTTCTTGTCATAACCTAATGAACTGTGAGTTACTCTAGAATTATCTCTTCATTGCTGTAGTTGGGTATATTTCCTTTGTTGTTTATATGCAATAAAGTCATAGGTATAGAGCTGGAAAGGACCTTAGAAGCCATTTAGTTTTTACAATTTATAGTCACATGAAGAAATGCTCTAAATCATTATTGATTAGAGAAATGCAAATTAAAACAACCTTGAGATACCATTTTACACCTACCAGATTGGCAAAAACGATTGAAGGGGAAAGTCACAAATGTTGGAGTGGATGTGGAGAAACTAGGACACCAATCATTTTGGAGAGCAATCTGGAATTACGCCTATACCCATTGACCCAGCAATACTAGCACTATATCTATTTTCAAAGATGATTAGGGAAAAAGGCAAAGAACCTATATGTTCTAAAATGTTTATAGCACCTCTCTTTGTGGTGGCAAAGCCATTCATGCAAATTCTTTGATGCAAACATAAAACCCAGAAACTGAATAATAATTTGTTGAATTTGAAGTCAGGGGCAGTGGGTTTCCAGTTGATGATGGTGTTTTCAGGTCCTCAATAGGAGCCACAGTAGAAGATAGCTCCTTCCTAATGAAAATATCTGTCTCTCTGTAACCATTTGAAGCAATTTGTTTATCTACTCTTGTTCTGTGATTGGAAATTGCAGGGATGCCCATCAACTGGGGAATGGCTGAACAAGTTGTGGTATATGATTGTGAAGGAATACTACTGTGCTATAAGAAATGATGAGTTCAGTGAATTAGAAAAACATGGAAAGACTTGCATGAAATAATGAAGAATGAAATGAGCAGAACCGAGAGAACATTGCATACAGTAACAGTAATATTGTTTTTAACCTTCTCATTTTATAGATGAGGAAACTGAGACTTTGAGTGACTTGCTCAATCACAAAAAGGTAGTTCATATGTAAAATTAATCTGTTTCCTCCATTAGATGGGAACCTTATTAAGTGCAGGAACTGCATCATTTCCTACCTTGGTAACTTACCATAACATTCTTTAAAGTGCTTTTTCTCATAACCAAACATTTAGTGTTGTTGAATTATTGTGAGGACTTTAAGAAGACTTATGTCCACTCTTTTGGACTTTGTTGTAGAAAGAACTGACCAGTGAAATATTACGTGTGTATTTCAGAAGTCCATGGAGATGTAGGCACATAGATATTGGTTTCAATGAAATGTCCCTAAATGAGGGTAGGAATTAATTAGGACCCCAATAGTTTAGCTGTAAGAGCACAGAAAAAAAAATGGCCTTAGTAGCTCAGAGAAGTTGTCACTTGGGGAAATTAAAGATGTAAAAACACTTATCAGAGAATCCTTTGATTTATTCTTTGCCATTCACCTTTGATTCTTCCAACATCTGTTTTAGGTCTTCTTTTTCAACTTCTTTTGAATTCTCTCGTAGTTTCCTGGAAAGCTGAAAGTCCAGTCCAGAAATACAGTGAGACATGAGCTACATTCATGCAAACATAAAATCCAGAAACTGAGTAATAATTTGTTGAATTTGAAGTTGGGGCAGTGGGTTTCCAACTGATGATGTAGTTAGTGTTTTCAGGTCCTTTGCAGGAGCCACAGTAGAAGAAAGCTCCTTCCTAATGAAAACATCTGTTTCCCTGTTACCATTTGAAGCAATTTGTTTATCTACTCTTGTTCTTGCTAGAACCTGATCCCAAGGCTTCACTGGGGCCAGTCTTGACCTTTACTGTATACAACTGTGCCATTCTATACATAACTCTGATCATAATGCCTGTATTTCTCATAGACTATATACATGGACGGGGAACCTGCAGCTCAAGGCCACATGTGGCCCTCTAGGTCCTCAAGTGTGGCCCAGAATTCTATGAAGGTTCCCCACCCCTGAGTCCTGGACCCTTGAATCCTAAGCCAGAAAGATTTCCATCAATTCTTACCTCCCATGTATACAGTTGATATGTACATAAGTCTTTAAGATTTGCAAAGTACTTAACAGATAATATATCATTTGACCCAAAGTGCTCTACATATGACATCCCGTTCTAAGTAGCTTGGGTTATGGGTCAGAGGCAAGACTTGGCCCTCTGTATTCACCAAAGTGAGAGAGAAGCAAGGATTGGAACTATCTGGGTGAGGGAAAGGGGATAAATCATTCCTGGGGAAGCCAAACAAAACTAGTTGTCCAGTTGCCTTATGCCACAAAACTCCCATGAACTGCTATGTCCAACACAGAAGACACTGAGACTTAGAGTTCTTTACTTCTGAAATATATCAGGAGACATGCCTCTTCCTCCTTTTAGAAAATTTCTTCAAGGCTTTCTCCTTTTTTTTTTTTTGCTTAGTCCTTCCTAATACAATCATAGGAATATAGTGGGTTTATTTTAAATTCATTGATAATAAGCCTTAGATCCCCAAAATTGTCCATCATATACTCTAAACATGTTAATAGGCAATTGCTATTATGGAATGGGAAACAGGCATGTTATCAGAATGTGGTTCCATTCTGAATGGAATAACCCTTCCCACTACTCTGTCTGGATAAGGATATCTACATGGGGGACTTTGGGAAACTTAAGAGAACTCAGAGGCCTTACCTTCATCCGTAGCTCATTCACATTCTTAGCCAGTATCTCATTACTCTTTTCCTGCAGAAATAAAGAAACAAAAAGCATGGCAGTTCATATCTTCCCATCTGCTCTTGGTCTCCTTTCCTGCCAAATTTTTTGTCAGATGACAAAACTGTGCTCTGACCTCACAGAACATGAGAGTAGATCTGGGAACAGAGCCCAAACATTAGAGTTTCTAGTGCCAATAACAACAACAACAATAACAGTAATAACAATAACTGATTTTTATATAGTCTTTAATCTCATATGACCCAAAGTGCTTTTACATACGTTATCTCATTGACACCAAGCACTCCATTTCCAGAGCTCTCCCTCTCTGAACCCTGCATGCCTGAAAACAATTGTGATTCCATTTCTCCTAACTTACTCTAAAACCTATGAAATCAAGGAAGATCCCATGGAAAGGAAAAACACAGCATAGCAACAAACTAAATCCATTAGACTGATCTTTCCCTGTGCCTTCCTTACCAATTTTGCAGTCTCCAATTCCAGGCTTTTCAGTGCTTCCTCCTTCTCATATGCTGTGCGGTTAAATTCATCTCTTTCCCCGACTAGGCCTATTGACTTGGTGATCTCTTTTTCTAGACTGAGTAACAAAATATCACACAGGTAAGTACTCATCCTCAGGACTAAACTGCAATTATAGGACTCCATCCTGGGGAAAGTGTGGTTCAGACTTAAGGAAGCTTTGGTAATGACAAAATACGAACCTCAAATTGTATGTAAACCAATGAAATCTGAGTTACTGAAAACAGTAAGAACCTAGCTAGTTTTCCAAATCCAACTTTCATATATTCTTATATGAATGGCTACTTATGTCAAAAAATTATCTGGGGTGGGGCTTAAAATCTCTGAGATTCTCTTAGAGTTCTCTGAATTTTGAGGTTTTCGTTATTAAGATAATTTAATTAGAGTTTGAGTTAATTAAGAGAATTCATTTGAAAAATGACCATTGATAAAGAGGAATGTCCTTTGTTTTCCTTCTATCCATTCCTCCCCATCCCTAGAAGCTCTATCCCTAGGAATAGCCTCCTCTAGAGGAGTTGTCCCCTGCCCAAATAAAACTCTGACCTTTGAATCTGTAGTTCTTTCTCTCTGATTTGCACAAGAAGGTCCTGGTTTGCCTCATCTAGGTTCAGCATATCCTTTTCAAGACCCAGATTCAGGTTGTCAAGATTCTTTTTTGCCTGTTCCAATCTCAGAATTTCCTTAGTTTGAGAACTACCAGGATATATCATTATTAAGATCCAAGTTAATCCAGTTAAAAGAAAGGAAAAAATAATACTTCTTAAGTTCCTACTTTGTGTGAAATATGTTTAAAGGCAAGAAAATAATTTATTAGACTTTTCTATTCCAATATGAAGAATATAGTTCTAGAAAGCATCCCCTGTGAATGTTACATACACCAAAATTATCCCAGATTCTCCATTTTGCCTATGCCTCAATTTATGTAACAAACAGGTTCCAAAATGTTATGTGTAAACTGAATTTTTATTAGTCAAAAATTGTTACAAATATGGAATCTTACAAATCTAATGCACTAGGAAATATAGATATTTAAATGAATTCTCTTGTTAATTGAAAAAAAAAAAAACTAAATGAAGGGGCCATAGGGAGAATTCTTCTGAGATGTGAATCATCTGTTTTATAAGTTCACTTTTTCATACATTATGTTTTTTTTTTTACATCAGGTCTCATCTATGTGGTATATCAAGGTGGGCAGGAAGGAGATTTCCAGAACCCCCTCCTATAAATTGTTCTACCTTCTTCTGTCCCCAGTTAGTAAAGGATGGTCTTTTCCCCAGTGTAGACTGATAGAGTACCATACAAAGAACCATCACAGACCTTCCCTTACCACAGGTTTGATAAAAGGGTAAGAACTGAAACCAGAGGTTTTCTTGCCTAAAATCCTTTGCCCAGCCTTATGTGGAATAATCCCGTTGGTCAGCTTAAAGTTCCTTCCCAGAGAGGCTTCAAAATAATTTCAAAATTCTCTCATTGAATGTTTCTTTAGTGACCCTCTTTATTGCTGTCATTACTTACATGTCATCCAGTGAGCCTTGACTAATTTCTTCCATTATAGGTTTTCTGAAAAAGAAAAGAAGGAAGGAAGGAAGGAAGGAAGGAGGGAGGGAGGGAAGGAAGGAA